ACCTAACAGTGTTAACCGCGACTCAGGTCTCTACCTGTCACCCATATGAGAATCAGTCATCCGAGGCGGTCTTTATGCCCTTCATTTAGCTCCGCCCCCCTCAAACAATATAAAAGCAGGTGCAGAGTAAAATGTAAAATGCGAGCCAGTTTGAATCTCTGAAGAAGCCAACAGGACGACTGGTGAAACGTCAGCAAGTTCGACAAGTTTTGTAAAAAGTATTACAGTAGCCTGTGGAAGTTTCTTTGAAAAATTAATATACGTTTTAAATTAACATATTCACGAATGCAAAATCATACAATGTGACTTTAATTTAAGATCATAACTGATGGAAAATGAGAATTTTCTCGCATTTACGATTAGACCACAACTTTCAACGCCGATTACCATTAAATAAATAAATAAATAATTAGCTGACGCAAATAGTATCCGTCTGTAAGGGTATAGTTTTGTAAGCTATATTTAGCACAGGCTATAAATTTTAAATGCGACAATCGCTTTGTGATGACGTCGCAGCTAACGGATGTATAACGTCGTCGCTAGAGTAGCGGTGAAGTAAACGTAGGACAAAATATTTACGAAAACGTGAGGGGTGTGGGGGAGGGGGCAAAATTTTCCCAAAACAAAATTCCGGAAAATTCGCGCGGTCTAGCCAAGCTTTCAGACGCGAAATGTTTTTGGCAACGATACGCGAAAAATATGGAAAAACAAAACGAATTAAAAACGCAACGCGGTCGAACTGAAATACGAGGTCGCCGGGGACACAATAAGGGTATACCGCCGTAAAACAGTTAACCAGAGAATTAATTAAAAACGTACGCATCAAAGGCAACGGCCGAAAATAAATAAACGCTCGCTATATTATCGTCCAGACGTACGAGAAAAATATGTTGCGCGAAAAAAGCAGCTACTGCGGGGAAAAACTAAATAAAAGTATATCCGACAAACATAATCACCCGACAGACAAAAACCACAAAAAACAACAACGGAAAAATAAAACCTTGAAATCAGAATACGTCGTTTAGTCCAGGTGGAAAAATACAAAAAAATATGTCAAGACAAAAAAAAATGAAACCAGTGCAACATAAAAAAAAACAAAGACGAAAAAAAGGTTAATAAAAATTTGCGAAAAATTTTCTAAATGAGACATAATAGCGGCAAGCAGCTACAGGAGAACTGACTAGTCACACTGTGAGGCCGATATTTTTGTGGTCAATTACGAAGTCTCTTTACCTAGTTTTTGGTAGCGATGAAACACACAGTATTATATTAGTGACATTTTTCAAAATGTGTTTGCTAATTTTTTGCACTTTTTAAAGCTCTGCTGCACTGATATTTATATGCATATTTTTTCATAGCTTTTCTTATTTTTTTTAAATAAAATAAGCATACTTTTTATAAAACTTCTGGTTTCCTCCGGCTTTGGTTTTTGTTGAGTCGAACTAGCTAATTTTTCGCCAATCATCCTGTTGGCTTCTTCATATATCAATAGAAAATCAGACCCAACATTGGGTCATTGTGTTTACAGAAAACCTACGCACACAGACCGATACCTTAATGCATTGTCACATCACCATCCGGCCCAAAAATCATCATTTATCAACACTGTTCTTTGCATAGCCGTAAAACTATCTCAGCCCGAGCCACTGAACCCAGAATTAAAATATCTTTGCCTTTCTGTCTAATAATTTGCACATTTGAGATATTAAGCGTTCCATCACAAAATACACTTCACCACAACCTTCCAAATGCAATGAAACCGAAAGCAATCCCACACTTGGCACTGTGATCCTTCCTTACATCGACATCACACACACACACACATCACTGACCACATATCAAAAGTTCTGGAGAAATATAACTTCAAAAGCAGATTTACCACTTGTCCAAAAATCTCTCAACATCTTCGATCCGTCAAAGACAACATCCCACTTGAGATGCTAGGAGTTTACAGCATTTCACCATATGCGGCAAAGAATACATTGGAGAGACCGGACGAAAAATATCAACTAAGCTCAAAGAACATGAAAGAGCCTTAAGACTAAAACAAATATACTCATCAGCAGTTGCCGAACACAATCACGAAACCGGACACAAAATTTTATTCGATAAAACTAATCAGTCATCCGAGACGGTGTTTATGCACCTAATTTCGCTCCGCCCCCTCAAAAAATATAAAAGCAGGTACAGAGTAAAATACGAGCTAGTTTCACTCAAGCTCTGAAGAAACCAACAGGATAATTGGCGAAACGTTGGCTAGTTCGATTCAACAAAAATCAACGCAGGAGAAATCCAGAAGTTTTATAAAAAGTATTACAGTAGCCTCTGGAAATTTCTTTGAAAAATTAAAGTAAGCATATAAAGAAATAAATACAACATGTTTTTTTAAGTGCTTCAAGCAGCCTCATTTGTTCCCCTAACCTAGAAGTATGTATTTGTCTTTAAAATTTATTTTGCCCAAGTATTGCATTTTTTCTACTCCCCACTCCAAACTCACACAAAACTGGTAGAAAAATTATATTATACAACGCGTTTACAAACTTTCTCAGTCACTCGTTTATGTAAACATTCACTACCCTCGTACAGAAATCAAACTCGTGACTAAAGTATCATTTGTCAAACTTTTTCTGTAATTTATAATTCCTGTCTTGTATGGGTAATGGAAAAGTCAAATGACGTAAAAAACTATAAATTAAAAGTTCACTGAAAAGTAAAACAAAAAATTCTTTTTTTTATATTTTCAAAATCAGAGCAGAGCATAACTTTTCAAAATAAGCCGAACTTTTTATGCGACATTTTGCAATTATTGCAATCTTATCGATTCCATTCGGGGACACTGTATATCTATATGAGAGAATAGATAACCCACTGTTTGCATGTGAAAGTTCTCAAGACTTTAATTATGCATCACTATAATGACTTACCATGTATATAGAGATGAGTTATCATTTTAAAGATTGATTAATTGTTAGAAATAAGCAAAAACTCTTGAAATATGTAAATTTATGGTATTTCATTCGAATTTGGACACCAAACTTCTAATTGACCTCACTACGCGTGACAAGTGAACTGGAGATACAACAATTGCAAAGGTAATCGGAAACGACCACGTTCAAGAAGTCAATAGAAACAAAAACCCAAACCACCGAAATATACGCGGGCGCGGGTCTCTGGTTTATTATTTTTAAACGGAATCGATATATAAATGAATCACCGCGGAAGGTCAATAACAAACATAATATCGCGGGTGGGGAGAGCGTATAAAGTACGAGCTTTTGGTTTTTTACGGACTCTATTCGGCGAAAAACCAATAAACACGTGCGGAGCTAAAACGCGCGAAAGATAAATATTTTCAGCGAATAAACACACTGGAAGATACGTGAACCTATCGGTTTCCACGGAAAGGATATTTTCCTTCTGGTCGCCCATCTCGGGCGCCGCCATAAATATGACCCACTTACACGGCAATAATTAATTGTTACCATGCGCCCGCGTTCGCCTTACGTAAGACACGCGATGCAATCGTAGGTAACGTTCAAGGGTAAATATTATAAATAAATTATTGAAAAAATGATTAACGCACGAGTGTGCATTTACATTATCGCCCGTGTTATACGCAATCGACGTTTTATGCTGAAACGCGAGCCGTAATCTTAACCTCTTCGATTAAAGAGACCAACAACAAACGGAAAACCGTTGCTGCTAGCGACAGAGAAAAAAATCGCTATTTGCCGCGTCTGGTGCCATCTAGTTACCGATAGTCGAAGCGCGATGGCCGAACTAATTCCGGAAAACTTCAGCGCCATCTGACGGGCGCGGATTGAAACAGTAAAACAAGAGACTAATTGCCGCGTTCTTTGAAACGACGATGTGCGATAATTCTCGTATCGGCGCACAGGTGTCGCGACAAACAAAGGCAGCCGACAATCCAAACTGGAATGTTTCGATACACATTCAATAACATTACTACCCTTAGAATTTTATAATAGTTAAGGGGATTCTTTATGATGCACGTTAGATACAGAACGGCAAGTGTAATTGGAAAATTGTTTTATATTACATTTCGACTATTTTTGACGGTGACAATCTGTGACACAGCATAGCTTTTAAACGGCTTGGGACAGCGATTTGAAATTTGGAAGGATTAATCTAGTTCATTATATGAAATGCTACTTGCCATTGGACAAGTAAAGAAAAGTTTCATTTACAATTTTTCCCATGATTAGGTGACTCGGTAAATTGTATTTACGATGGCCACAGCCTCCTAGACACAATTTTCAAAAATTAAATAAAAATTTAAAAAAACAAAAAGAAAAGGAGAAAAGCCGTCTTGTCCTACGTAGATAAATACAAAAAATATAGGTTGTGCCATTTAACATTCGAAAGTTTCTGCCTTTTCCGCTCAAACCGGAAGTGCAACCACTAACTACATATTGTCAAAATATTGGACATTCAGCCTAAATTAACCCTTCCAAATTTCAAATCGATGTATCAAGCCGTTTAAAAGTTATAGAGTGGTCCCATATTCTTGTTCCACCCGTATATTCTATATATAAACAGAAGTTCTTCCCTATACTCTACATATTTAGTCGTCACAAAAATTTAAAAAAATATATTTTTTCAAAAAATAAAAAATATTGGTTAAATGTGCACATTTAAATGCAAAATGAATGGTGACTAGACAAAACAGAAAATAAACCGTAGTTTTTGAAAATTAAAAATACAGAATATCGTGAAATAAAATAATTAAACACCCCATTTCCCCCCTTGATATAAATATGCAAAGGAAATACAAGAATCCCTATTATTTCTTCTATAGTCATTTTCTTATCCTACCGTTTTCATACCAGTTTAGATCGCGGCGCCATATATGATCAAATGGGTGAACTATACCAGAATATTGATTCTACTGCTGACACGCAGGTGTCGCGCAAGCGGCGTCAAAGGGAATCCGCTATATGAGGCGACAAATGTTATTTTTTATTTATTTTTTTGCTTACCGGTGTCATTAAGGATGCCCTGCAGGGAGTCATCGCTGTACCCCTCGCCGTCGGAGGACATGACTGCAAAAAAAATGTGGTTAGTCTAACGTTCGAATAAATGAACGTTTTTTTTTTAGCGGGAATCCCTCTACGAGACAGTTAATCGGAAATCGTCTACGCACGCGATAAGATAATTCGTCGATTAAAATTTAATTTGAACACGCGTGTTTTATTATAATTCCACAAATAATTATTGTAATCGTTTAAAAGCTAGCGGATAAAAATAAATCAACCCACGTCAATAGATTGTTACTGTTATCCCGTTTTTTCTAATTTTTCTGTTACTTTTGTTGATAAAGTTCCGTTTTGGGGTAAAAAAAAATTAATTCACATAGTCGATGCAATGTTTCATTTTTGGTTCTCCAAAAAATGGCCGCGATCCGTGAACCGTGGGCCACAAAAAAAGAATGATCGGAACAAGGACGTCTAAAAAACGCCGCACGAGATAAACGCTTTTGAGAAATAATGGCGTTGGTTTTTATCGACGCGATTACTCTTGACCCGGTGATTTTTCCGAAAGAAATTCGAGTTTTCCACGTGCGCTAGGGGAAACTTCTTTGGACCGAAAATTTATTTCAAAATGCCTCAAAGTAAATTTATCGCATATTCTTATTTGGTCGACAAACTAATAAAAGATCTGATTAATTCGTTAAAACTTTTATTGCATAATAATTTTATATTCCAAGTAAATATAATCTGCTATGCGAAAGGTCAGATTTTCAAAATCACTTATTTCTTCAACTACTAAACACTGTAATAAATGTATCATCGCACCAACTTTCGGAAACGGAAAAATTAGTTCTTTCAAAAGGTTCCAACTTCGTTCCTACCCCACATATTATCCCAGCTAATGAAAGTGGATTTGAAACTGCAAAAATCCTTAAAAAATCAAAACCTTCTAAATCTAATATTGTAAAGCATAAGCATTGCCCCAAAATCTGTAAAATCTAATCCAGCCATCGTAATCCTAAAAGCAAATACAGAAAATGTTACGATGATCATCAATACAAATTAATATGAGGAAAAGATTCAAGATATTTTTACAGACGGATCGTATTAAACAGATCCTACGTCATGTATGGATCGCAACTTTAAATCTGTTATTAAGGCTTCTTCTCTATCAGACTCCGTGAAAAAATCTGTCACTCCCCATGACTCTAAAATTCCTCGTCTCTACGGACTCCTAAAGGTCCACAAACCAGGATTACCCCTTCGGCCTATTCTCATATTCTCTAGCACAATATCTTCCTTACTAAAACCCCTTACAGAGAAAACTGATAGTTTCGTATCAATCTTAAGTCTTTACCAGTCACCCATATGGGAATTAGTCATCCAAGACGGTGTTAATGCCCATCATTTAGCTCCGCCCCCCTCAAACAATATATAAGCAGGTACAGAGTAAAATGCGAGCAAGTTTCAGTCAAGCTCTGAAGAAGCAAACAGGATGATTGATGAAACGTCAGCAAGTTCGACTCTGCAAAAACCGACGCACGAGGAATCCAGAAGTTTTGTAATAGTATATTATGCAACAAGTGCGGTAAACGGCATTTGACTCACGAGTTTATTTTATTTTATTATTGAGTTTTTAATAAACGAGTCAGTTAAAAACCAACCCAACGTGTTGCATACTATAATTTTTCTACGACCGTTAGTTTTTGGGTACGTTTTTGCAAAAGAACACAAATATATTCACTGACCTGACCATCAGAAATGGCAAACGTCAAAATCTCCCAAATCCGTGCGGTAAAATCCCGGAAATGTCCGAAGTGGCTCGGATTCATGCGAAACGAAACTGACGTGGTAAAGTGACGCTTCCCGCACACTAGATCGGTGTGTAATTAGGTATTTTACAGACGGGAGTAGAAAAAACGTATTACAGTGGCCTGTGGAAGTTTCTTTGAAAAATGTTCAATCAGGAGTTTGGTTTTTGCTAATGCTCCCTTCACACTCGAGTTTACGTAAACAGTATGGAGTTTTAATGACTTATTGGCAAAAAAGGTAACTTATCTTAATAGCATTAGAGTTTATGCGGGTGTGGAGATCACTACAACCAATTTGATCAGTCAAAAACCAGTGTGAAGGATATTTATGTTATGTTATGTCATGGTTCAAATTTCAATAAAACATATATGGACAATCGGGCATATGAATTCCCTCTTTTGCTCCTATGTTGCGTCACTACTTCATATGTTTCGATAATGACACAAAACGGTCGAAGTTTTGATAACAAAAAATTAATTTAATTAAAATTCTCTAAAACCCAATTATCGCATATCTTGTGCAATTTCGAAAATACCCGTTTTTGATAAAAAATCGAAATTACCTTTAATTTTTTTTAACGAAAATACCTAATTAAAATTGGCAATTTTTCAAGGGGAGTAGTTCCCACAGTCAAACCGACAGAACGACAAAACAAAACGCCGCTAGAAAGGTGAGCTGCTGTAAAAGCTTAAAAAACTAATTATCTAACGGAATTACTATTTTACGACTTGGAGGTAACGAACGCGTCGGTTAAAGTTTAATTTATTTTTTGTATAGTTCTCTTGTACACTTTCTGGGTGTCGAGTTTTAATGGGAAATCATTCTTTATGAAGAAAAGTTCATATAATATTCATAACTTCTTTTCATTAATAGATTAAACCAACTTCTAAGTGAAGTTCAATCTCAATTACAAGAAGCGCTTTCTCTTAGAGATCAAAATATGTAGTCCACTCACTTTACAACAAGAAGTTGCAATTTTAAAGTGTCAAATGGAAGATTTTCGGTATCGATTCGGACACATTCACAACAAAAACTTGTTATATTTGAAGAAGCTTCAACGATTTCGGCGAGGAAGTTTCTGAGTACCTACGACAAATCAAAACGAGGGAAATTCACATGCATCTGATCTCCACATAAAAGGCGTTTCATAAGATTAAGATTGAACTTCACTCGGAAGTTCGTTTAAACGAGATCAACAAATAAAAAAAAGCTTTAAAAGAAACCTGTCTGTATTTACACAAACGCCAATATCGTCGATAAGGGACATTTACAATAGGGGAGAATTGAAAAAAAGGGATAAACGTAATGTTTTCAAACTCTGATTAGGTCCTGACAAGAAGGAAAATATATTGTCTTTATCAACGTTGTTCCTACCTTGGGTCAATTGAAAAAAGATGCTCGGATTTAAGTACCGCAAAATAGACAAAAGAAATCACATATATTTGAAGAAAGATTAGGGGTTAGGATTAGACAACAGATCCACAATTTACGTAGATGAAACATCGATCGATACACACGACACTGTATCCAAATTTATATCAAACGAAAGCGCCTTCAAATAAACGCATCACCATAATACACGCTGGGTCAGAAGACGGATTTGTCCCACATAATGCTTGCTGTTGTCTGCAAAGAATATTAAGGATTCTAGCTTGGATTATCATGAAGATACAAGTGGAGAACTTTTTGAAAATTGCTTTCAAAGCAATCTTTTATTGAGGACATTTCTATACAAAACAGCATAAATCCTATTACAATCAATGTCAATGAGGATCCTGATAGTGAAAAAAAAATTAGAATTAGACATTTATAATAAAAATGTAATTACGTATAAAAATTCCTAGCTATGAATTTATATTTTGAACTTCGAACACTGTGTTCGAAGTGTTTTCGGAGCGAGATGCCAAGTGAGATTTTGGCGAAACGTCTGCAGGATTCCAGTCGGAGTTCAACGAGCGAACGGATGATATCCCGGAATATAGTATATATATATATATATATATATATATATATATATATATATATATATATATATATATATATATATATATATATATATATATATAATATATATATATAATGTATACGAGTATTAGATATTATCCAGAGCGCCGAGCTCTTTCAATTTCCAAGGCTGGCAAAGAAATTTGCAAAAAACTGTAACATATTAAATGCTAAAAAGGTATGCCGGAATAATGTTTTAAATGAAGAAAACAAGGCAAACATATTAGGATTTTATGAAGCACACTCAGTTTTTGAAAGAATATCAATATAATGGATTTAAATTTCGTAAAACTCAAATACCAAGTGCAGAACAATGTCAAAAGAGGATGTAGTTGTATTTGGATTTTTTAACTAGGCATAATGAGAATAATAATTTTTTGAAAAACATTTTATGGACTGACGAAACTTCGTTCACTACAAGAAAGGGTTGTAATAGACAAAATATCGAATTGAGGTGGCTTTTACTTGATGAAAATCCATTTATCAAAATAAGTAAGAACTAAAAGTTTAGATTTTCACGAAATTATATATTTTTATATGACAATTGTTTCGACAACACCGTGTCTTTTACAAATGTGGACAATTGATAAAGACACGGTGTTGTAGAAACAATTGTCATGTAAAATGATATAATTTCGTAAAAATCTGAACTTTTAGTTCTTATTTATTTTGATAGACAATCTAAGGCAAATACAAGAAATAAAAACCCAGGGGTAGCAATTAATGAATGTATGGTGTGGTGTCATAGATGGGCATATTTTGGGTCGGATATTTATAGATCAAAAGTTAACTGGAGATAATTATTTGCAACTGTTAGAGCACCAAATAGGACAATATATTGAAGATTTACAAGTAAATATGTCAGCGCTGATTATATGGCAGCAAGACGGTGCCCCTCCTCACAATGTTGTGCAAGTTAAACATTTTTTAACACAGAATATCCCAGAGGTTGGATAGGGAACGGCGGAAATACGGATTGGCCAGCCAACAGAATTTTTTCTTTTGGGGACACATAAAAAATTAGAACTCCTTGTAATTATGTCGTGGAAGTTCGGCAAATGATTTCAGAGGCGATCAATCAGTTAAGAGACAATCCGGAAACGTTATTAAGTTATGAGAAATGTGTTCAGGAAAATGGTTGTCACATACACCAATATTTACAATAGTTACAGATTTTTTACTTTAGTGTGTCTTGTCATTTTTAGTGTTTTTGTTCTACTTGAATTTGTAAATTGTTACTGTGGTTGCTGTTACAGTCAATTAAAGGTTATCAAGATAAATTAAACGCACGACGGGGTCGGTTGTAAGAGCACTATATTTTTGGTCACGGTATACCATTGCGATAATCCGTTAGACGTTATACAGTACGTTGAGACCCCGGAGACGACCTTGTTCGCCACGCCCTAGCCTGAACCGGAGAAGAACTAGGTCGCGACCGCATCGATCCAGTCGCCGTGGCGCGGCGGCGCGGCATTTTCCCGAAATAATCGATACCGTTTTCCGCCCCTCCCGTCAGTTACCCGGCGAGACGCGTCGTGATCCGGTGTAGAGAGCTCGCCCCGTGAAATGTCAAGAAAATGGACGGCAACGCTAACCGCCCCCGAAAAACGAGTGCTCAAATAATAAGCGAAGCCCGCGAGGCCGTCGTCGTCGTCCTCCAGTCGCAAAGGATGGAGTCGGGCACGTCGCCGGCGGTGAGGCCGCTCCAGACCAGGAGGCCGTTCACGCCGCGTGCCAACGAACGACACCTCTTTGGCGGTACGCGGGGACGCGACGATCGACCCGCGAGCTCGTTCAGCCTGCGGTACCTGCGGCACGAGTTCGCGGGTCACCATTTCCTCAAAAAGTCGGCCGCCAAGCGAACCGTTGGCGACGGCGTCTTCAACATCGGCGTGAAGGAGTCGTGTAAGGTACGTCTGCCGTCGCTGGAGGAGACCGGGTCGTTGAGCAAACGCAAAATTTTCAAAAACACGTCGCTAGAGAAACTGCCCGAGGAGGGGGACGCTACGACGATGCCGTGCGTCGTGCAAAGGAACGCGTTCAGCTCGCCCAAAGAACGTACCGATTTCGACGAATCGGAACGGGGCGGCATCCTGCTCGGGCCTCAGAACCTCACCAAGATCTTTGACAATCGGTACATCGTCGAAAACTCGGAGAGGCTGTTCAGCAGTCCGCCTTTGCGGGGAGACACCGTGGAAGAAGTGCTCGCACGTCTGGACGCCGTCGACGCCCGACAAACCGATCTCGTACGGGACCTTTTGAACGAGCTCTACGGGTCGATGGAGAAAGAGGGCCTGGTCGGCAGCAAAACGAACCCGAAAATCAAAATAGGCATCCTCAAAGGACTGTACAAGTTTGTCGAGTCGCGCGACGACGAGGTCCTCACCGATATCGCGAGGGTGATTTTGGCGTTGAACGTAACCGGGAGCAATTTGAGCGGCGTGTGCAAGCTCATCTTTAAGATATCGAAAAACGACAAAAACGACCGCCTGTTCCTCGAAAACAACCTGCTCGAGTTGTTCGTGGACGCGTTAGGAAGATCGACGCCCGTCGACGACGCCGAGGCGTGCGTGTATGCCTACGGCGCAGTTAAATTTCTCACGATGAACGCGACCATCCTCGGAAAGATGCTCGCACTAGGAATCCTCCCGCTGATGGTGCTCCACCTGAAGATCGTTAACGATGCGAAAGAAGATAGACAACACTTTCCGACCAAGACCAACCACGTCCTGTTCCAGCTCACGGGAGCGTTGAGGAACGTGCTAGCGGACGAAGACGCTTTCGAAGGTTTCGTAGCGTGCGGCACCGTCGGTCACCTGTGCCACGCCCTCGAGCTCTTCGACGATGATGTCGACATCGTCACCAACGTCGCGCGTATCTTGAGTACGGCGTCGACCCGCGACGACTGCTGCGACGCGTTGAACGGCACCGAGAACCTCTACAAAGTGACGGTGAAGTTGCTGCGAGGGCACGCGCAAAACGAAGATATAGTGGTGAGGCTGACGTACATCTTGGGCAACTTGGTGGCGAGGATCGATCGAGCTAGGATCGAATTCTTTGACGAACCGGGTTCGATCGACGGCCTGGTGAACCTGTGGCGAGTCTACCTCGAGAGGACGCTCCAGTTGTGCTCGTTGACGGTCGAGAACGGGAGCATCGTCAACTCGAACAGCGAGGACGTCATGATAAAAGTGATCAGGGTGATCGCGAACGTCGTCATCAACCCGACGATAGGGAAACGGACCAACGAAACGTACGGGCCCGTGTTGATCGACGAGTTCTTGAAGGTGCTCATCAGTAACCCGTTTAAAAAGAACAGCGAGCTGGTCCGATCGGTACTGAGCACGCTCAACAACCTCTCCTACTATTACTCGAGCGATACAGAAGGGGACGCATTTCACGTCAAGCAGATGGAAATAGTGGAGGCGATAGTGGAATACGCTACAGGAGAAAACGACGAGTGCGTAGTCGAAACCATGAGGATTTTGGGTAATCTGTCGCGATCCAAGACCACCAGGAGTTACATCGCAGAGACGTCGATATTCGATACGTTGATGGGGTTGCTCGACGTCGCCGACGTCGCCCTCCTCAAGACCGTCGTCGGCGTGTTCGTTAATCTAATGTCGGACACGAGGTGTCGCCAGCAGTTCAAGGAAGGAGGCGGCGTTGCCAAGTTGCAACGCGTTCTGAAAGCGTACTGCGCGGCCGACTGGAATTTGGGCACGTTGGTGTGCCAAGTGCTGTGGAACTACTCGATAGACACGGTGGACCTGTACGAAACGATGGGCGAGACGGAACTCAACGACCTTCTGCTGGTACTGGCGGAGTTTTTGGACGAGGAAAAGTTGTTCGGCGCGGCCTGCGACGAGACGGAGATGCTCCTCACCCCGGAGTACCTGCTGTGGGAGGAGTTCGCGGGAGTAGCGACCAATTTGTTGGAGAAGATCGAATACTTTTTGGACACGTTCGATCAAATACAGGTGGCGGACCATGAGAATGTGAAAAGTGGCGGCGACGGCGGCGGAAACGTCACTTTCGCCGCGTGGCAGATGTAAAAATAGAGGAAGGAAATGTTTGATTTAGTTTGCCTATTCGTAAATATTAAGTATATAGCGATATATACTACTACTATACTATATTACTACTACCGTGCTTCGCCTTCAGGATGCAAAAAAACGGTTTTTTAATTATTAGCCGGATTAAATTATGGTACGCTACTGATTTTTTAAAGATCCAATGATTTTGATCAATGAGACTGTTTTGTTCTTTCCGACTTTTTTGTATTCAAGATAAAAATTCAAAACCATTCCTTAAAAATGAATGAAAAGTTGTCACCTTGGATTCAGAAAACAAATCAAGTTGTGACACATGTTTTTTTTTTCTGCAAAATACACCCTTAAAATGTTTATATTGAATTTTAAAAGACCCTGTTAGTTGTTTTTTTTTTCATTGAGTGTAGCCACTCATTCTACTAGTGCGTCGAAGATAAGAATGCACCAGTATCTTATCTATACGAGGTCGGTGCGATCAAAGAAAGGTTGCATACTTTACATAATGTAAAGAGAGAAAAAGAGATCCAAAGACAGGCAAGATTTAGAGAAGTAATTAAATCACTGATTAACAAACTAAGGGTAAAGAAGAAATCCAAAGTGTTGGTTATTATCAACAGCAGTCACATTTAAACATAATTTTTTCAAAAAAACTTTCAAAGACTATTTTATTCTCTACTATTTACAAATCTTCTGGATTCCGCCTGATGTGGTAATCGCCATCGGAACCTCGTAAAGCCATTTAATTGATTTTCTCATAGCAGATTTAGATATATAACAACGATTATTTTAATAGTTTTTGAAATGGTGTTCGTGATGTAATGCAATTTTTCTCAGGAAGGAAAACGGTAAGTTAAAGGGTTTCATGCAATAAGCATAACTATCTATAAATGGAAATGGAAATGGAAATTTATCACATACAATGTCCAAAAGAATCAACGAAAATGTCACTACGGTTAAAAAAAATAATCAAATTGATGGTGACGACCTCTCGGCACTGCCTGCATTCTTTCGTCTGGCTTCATCGGTGGAGATTCTCGTTATGATTTTGGGCCGATAACGCATATCGAACTTTTAGACGATTTATTTTATAATTTAACAATGTTCGTTTACATTTTATTCTAAGGTACCCTTGTAACGATAACGAAAAGTAATAAATGAATTAATTACGTTGCTTCGGGTGTTTTTTTTTTCACGTCGACCGCAAAGTGAAAAATTTTAAAAGCAAACAAGGCAATAAAAATCACTCTCGGCGCGGATGATTTCGCGTGATTTATTGGAACCCAGATAAACTTTGCTGCGATGCGAATTTTCTATACCGTCGCCGTCAGTTTTATCATCGTAAATACTCGAAAGCATTGGCCCAGATTTTGAGTACCGTCGAAATAACGAAAAATCCCTGATCCACACTAGAAACGGTTTACGAATACGTAGAACAAATAGACGACTACAACGTATAGTGAAAATAACGTCTCGGCAAACAATATCATTGCCGTCGTTTAAACATCAGAAGCAAAACAAAAATCGCGACAGGATGAAGGATAAATGACGCGCGAGGCTCAAAAACGTTTCCTAAGGGCGCGAAGCCGCATTTTTTGTATAACCTCAAAAATTATCGCATCTAGTGTGAAAACAAACAAACGCGTAACGATAAATTTGCAACAACCTTGCCCGTTGATGAACCGTCACGGGACGATACACATTTAGATAAGTAAATCGAGTTACGGTTCGCGGGGGAACCATAGGCGTGCGTATCGCGGGAAAACTAAACGAACGCCTTTGAACGAAAGGTAAATTTCGGACTGGACGTTATATATCGCACAAACAATACATGCTCTTCATTTTAGCATAAAACTTTCAACCCACTTGATTGACACACTAGATTATACAAGAATAATCGAGAAATTCCAACACTGCGCAAAGAAGATTTTGAAATAGCTAAAGGCAATGATAAATGTGATTGCTTATACGCCTGATGACCATATTGATATTATGAGAAACTGCCGTAAAAAAAGGTAACTAAAATGAAAACGATAAACTAAATTACAAAAGAATGCCCCGTTTTTAATCTCAGTTAAAGAAGATAATTTCGCAAATAAATAACAACCAATAAATATAAATTTAAATCTAAAAGGAAAACCATTCACAATCATTAGTTCACCATTCACATCTCTAGTGCCTTTGTGAAGAACTTAAATGAAATGATGCATCTTATACCGACTTTTTATAGCAGCTTAAAATCAGATAAACCTATAGTTGAAGGTGTAGATGGATTCCACGTGGGGGAGCTAGATTTCAATATCGAAGCAGAGTAGACACTTAACTTATCGAATTTTATATTTTTCCTTCATTATTCTTTAATATAAAAATTTGTTGATACTTCCTATTGATTTTTCATATGGATGGATGACTGGTATTTTTGAAAGAATAAATAAAAACCTGTTATACTGTAAAGCAAGATGATAGTTGTTTTATTGCCGTTTGTCGCAAAACGTGGCCCAAATGATATTACTTATTGTTTAAGTTTGCAAATAACAAATTTTTGCCTTGATAGCTCAATGCAACAGTTTTGTATAGCGTGGTGCTAACAAAAATTCTAATTCAATTTGGGCTTATATGGTAGCAAACAATTAACGCATTTTATTTTTATGAACAATCAATTTAATATATTTGTTCTCATTCAATATATTAGGCAGCACGCAGAGTAATACACACCGAAACCAAAACCATTACACTGTAACAATGTAATGGATGCAACTAAAATTACAGTGTATAGTACACGCAAGATTTTACGAGTAAAGTAACCAAAACTTAGCTCCAGAAGAGGCGATTCGACTTTGCACTAAAGTTGAGAAGACTTGGATTTTTTATTGATCGATATTTCAACAAAGAGATCACGAAAACTAAACTAACCAAAGGAAACCCAAATTAACCAAAACGATTCAAAAGATAAATCATATCAAAAATGGTTTGCAACTCAGCATTACAAAAAGAGTATTGTAGATCGCGTTATCTGCAACGATAAACATACATTGTTTCACTGGAGCCTGACTCTGCAATCAGTGACTTGGAAATTATATTACTAATATTATTAGAAATTGATTAAGAAATTTAGGATTTGTTACTAGAAATAGTTATGATCTATCTCTAGAATGTAAATTTATACAATTCCTTTGTGCGGTCCGAAATAGAAGCTTCCGTGACCCGGTACCCACCTACGACTGTCATGTTGATGAAATTCGCAAAAGAAATTTTTGTGAAACTTGGCGTTTAAAAAAAAACTATTTAAAATGCAGATGAAAACGGGATTAATTAGAGTTCAGTAGATGAAATGTTTGTCATGGTTATTTTCTTTTCATTCGTTTATTGGCAGCCTCGGTGCCTGTCAAATTTTTATCAAACCATCAAGTTGCTTTCCACTTTTTACTGATCTTTCTATTTACTTGTACTTTGTTTTTTCCGCACATATCTGGAATATTATTTTTAATTTTATTTCGTCATCATATTTAAACTTTAATATGTAATTTTAATTCATATTCAGCCATTAAATAAACAAATAAATACATATACATAATTATTGAAAAAATATTAGTGGTAGATTGATCAAAAAATAACAAAGTGATTTTTTTTTCGAAAACGAAATTAAATAACCTCCTTTTCTCCGCGGACACCCCGTATATCGGTAGTCCCGAAAACGCGCCTAGTCAAATATTGATCCACGCAAAAGTAGGCATGTATAAATAAATCGAAGATCGGGCTTAATATGTTATTTGCACGCGAAACAGGCATGTGATTTTTTTTTACGATTCGACCGATCTAATTGCCGACCGCACCGAAAAAAAAACTATTCCATATAATTAATTAATTATTATTTTCGTCCGAACGCGGTTATACGCTACCAAAGATAAATTGACAAAGTTTCCGTTGAATATTCATGTGGACTCGCTGTTATACAACGCGGTAGAAAAAAATTATGTAAAATTCGAGGTTTTGCATACGTCAGCGCCGCCCGATTGTCAAATGCCACGCATAACTCGCCGTGGGGACTTTTTCGTTCAGATAACATAATCGAGAATCAGTTTACGAAACATAATATTTACTTATATGTACCGAGCGTATCGGCTCATTGTCGCAAGTCGTTAGCAGTGAAGCTTTACAAATCCATTTTAGTTAAATTAGTTCCATTTAAGTAAAAATAATTACCAACTTACATAAAAAAAGTGGTACGCCACTGTTGCGGTTTGCAGGACTTTAACGAAATTTAACAAACAAAAAAAAGTAGTACCACTTTTTTCTTTAACCATCTTAATCTAAAGAAGTGGAGACGCACTTTTTGTTGATGTTAAAAGTAGCGGCTTAAAATCACCTTGCACGATACACCCTGTATATTGGATGAGAACATAGACGACGCCAAACACCACGCACTTGTTATGACGAAACTCCAAACTGTGACCCGTGTGTGCTGTTAACCAAACCCGTTCTTGACTACTTCAATATCTATTGATCGCCAACCACACGCATATATAAATACTTATAAGACATTCCGATGCACAGTAGTCTACGGGCACACTTATTTTGGCCAAAATTGTTTATTAACATTTTTTATTGTGAATCAACTTCAGAAACGCGTTTTGCATGTTACTGTTACTCCAAGTACAGTTAATTAAAAAAAAAACTAATATCTGTGAATCTAGTAGGACAGGCACATTCCCCTTTGACTAAATTTAAGAAGGAGAAATTTCGGGTTTTTACAATCGCTTTACTTATTGCCTTTGCTTGCGGGCATGAAAACACTAACTTTAAAAGAAAAACTATATATATATATATATATATATATATATATATATATATATATATATATATATATATATATATATATTTATATATATCACCATCAACTTTGATTTTTCTTATGGGACGGAAAAAAAGTACACACAGTATTAGGTTGTGCTTTTCATTGCGAATTCAACGATGTACGATACAATACGGTTACTTATGTTTTTATCCAGAAAAATGGCTTTTTAATACATTTCTAGTATTTTATTGTAGTAGGCCATGAGATCCGAACGATGAAAGGCAAAAGAAAATGGTTGACAAGTTCGAGTTAATGTGTTTATTTATTTACTAACTCTAACTGTTCATTTAACATAACAACTAAATCCAACAAGTTAATGAAAAACAAATTCTATAACAAATGTTCGAATAAATGACCTCCATTTTCTAGGCATAAGTACGCCCGTCTCACGGTAGACTCCAAAACACGACTTAACATTTCAGGAGTAATTTTATTAAACGCTGCTCGTACTGATTGACGTAATTGTTCCTCGTTGTCAAAACATTCTTTGAATACCTCATTTTTTATGTAGCCCCATAAGAAAAAGTCCAAGGGAGTTAAGTCCGGGGACCTTGGAGGCCAAGGTGTTTCACTGTAAGTCCCAATGTATTTTCCATCAAACCGTTCAGTTAAATATTGGCGAATTTCTCTGGAGTTATGGGCTGGGGCACCATCTTGTTGGAACCAGCAGCCTTGCACAGCGCCTAGCGGTAAATCATCTAAGGCATCTTCTAAATCGTGCCTCAAGATGTCAAGGTACCGCTCGGAAGTTAAGGAATTATTATAGAAAATAGGGCCTATAATCTTGCTACCAAAAATCCCACACCAAATATTAAACCCAAAGCGAACTTGATGTCTGGATAGTCTATTAACACGTGGATTTTGTTGCGACCAATAGTGTGTATTGCGCCTGTTATAAATACCGTTATTGGTCACCATACTTTCATCAGACCAAATCACTTTATATGGAAAATTAAAACTCTCATCACACATCCTGGTATACCATTCACAAAAATGTCTACGTCGTTCGTCGTCACCCGGTTTTAATCCTTGACATATTCTGAATTTGTAAGGCTTAAATTCATTTTTCCTTAAAATAAACTGAGCTGTAGATTTAGCTACCCCATTCTGGTCTTCAATTTCTCTGGTAGAAGTTTGTGGATTTTCGATAACAGATTGTAGAACAATGTATTGGTTTTCTTCATTGGAAGGTTTTTGTCGGGATAATGCAGGCTTCTTAAATGATCCATATTCTTTCAGATTAAATAACAAACGCCGAAAAATACTCTTGTCAGGTTGTCTCCGCTCTGGGTATTTGTTAGAATACATACGCTCGGCTT